TTAAATGGATTTATTTCACAGGCAATAATCTTTCTAAATTTTGTTTTTGCATATTGGATCTGAAAAGGGTATTCAGGAAAAAGAAAATCATTTTTAGGTTTCTAATAAATACTTAGACTATAACAGTGCCTACAAGCTTGGTTTATATTCTTACAATAGATAAAAGGAAGAATTTAGACTTGTTTTATGTTAGTTTTAACAGAGTTGAGAGAGGTTGAAGCAGGGACATATGTCCAAGCACCAGAGACAGGATAAAGGCAGAGCAGGGCATGTTGGATGACAGAAGCGATGACCCCCTCTAGCAGTCCTGGTGCAGTTGGGCCGCTGATATTAGCACTTGAGATCTTCTTCTCAAACTCATTCATTCGTTGAACACAGTGTCCTTGCCTGTCTTTGTCATACGAAAAATGAAGCTCTGCCTGTCTGAATCAATGCATATCTCTGAGCTGAAATATTTCAAAGTACAGTGAGTTGCATCTATAAACAATTTGCAGCAAAGTAGCACAGTCATATATTTTCCAGATGATACTTTGAGGAGTATTAAGCAAGAGTAGTTTTATTATATACATAATAAAATAATCAAAACAAATAAATTAAAAGACAGGATAAGCAGAGGTACATACAATAACGTGTAAAAAAATGGTAGCAATATATTGTAAGTCTGTGAAAAATTAACTATTTGCTACAATCTCATAGTGCATATTCTTTGGTTTCCCTTATTTATGCCTCAAACCACATCCGTTCTTCATTTGTCTTATTCTCCCTATACTCTCTGACATAGTTCTTTTGTTTGTTTGTTTTGTTTTTTTTAACAAGCCATTTGTCTAGAAATACTAAAACTAAAGTGCTCTGTCTGCATATTGGGTGCTTTTAGCAAGCCATATATGCACAATAAGCTGTGCTTGCAGAAATTTTTTATTGTTTGTTTTTTTTAAAATGCAGTCAATTGACCATGGACCAGCATTAATTTGTTTCTAACCAGTAAGGCATACATGCGTGGTGCCCTGTACAACAATGATTGCAACCACCGTGGCGAGGCCACTTATTTTTATTCTCAGCAAAGGGAAATTTCAATGCATCAGCATGCCTCTGCTCAGAACCACAAGACATCTCCAGACTTTGCTTTCTTCCAGAGGCAGATTTTTCATTTGCCCTGCCTTAACTTTCACACGTCCTTCATAAAACAAGGTGATTCACCTAAGGAAATTCTGGATAAATGACTTAGAACGAGTCTGCCACAAAATCTTTTATAAGCATTATGTTAATATTCTAATGAAATGATAATATACATCTGCCTATGATGTAAAAATAACCTTTGCAATATTCTCTAAGCAATATTTTTGTTTATAATTTTATCAGACATTAGACACTCACAGATGTCTTAAAGTTTCATATTAAAATAACTTTAGATGGCAGGTGGTAGATTTCTAGGACGTTATATTTCTTCGGGCATTCAGCCTGCAGCCTGGTTTTTCATAATAATTTCAGTCCTGGGAAACTATAATTATCCTGAAACACGCTACTTATACTGCTTATTTCTTAATTACAGTAGTGACATAAGATAAATGCATACTTATTGGGATCAAGTGCGTATTATTTTGTGATGATTATAAAGAAGTTCTCATGACAACAATTGCAATTATATGGTCATCAACTACTGATACCATGTTATGTTCTAGAAACTCTGTAATTAAGTCATGCCAAGAGGGCACTTCCTAGTCGAGATAAAAGTGCTTATGGGGGAGAGAGAGAGTGTTCAATGTAAAAACCAGTGTCATATATACCCTGAACTTATTCAAATGATTCTGCATGAATTTCAAGTAAAAGCATTATATCAACTAACTCTTGGGGAATTTATTTTAAACTTCCATCTAAACAAGCAGTGTAAATAATATTCTTTAAAATAGACTTTCTCTTTTTGACTTTTAGAATAAAACACTTTGGCTACAAACGAGGTATGGGAGTGGGGAAATGGACGAGAAATATGATTGTTGTGTTGTTAGGTGCCATCGAGTTGGTTCCAACTCATAGCACAGAACAAAACACTGCCCAGTCCTGCACCATGCTCACAGTCTTTGTTATGCTTGAGCCCATTGTTGCAGCCACTCAGTCAATCCATCTAGCTGAGGGTCTTCCTCTTTTTTCGCGGACCCTCTACTTCACCAAGCATGATGTCCTTCTCCAGGGACTGATCCTTCCAGACAACATACCCAAAGTATGTAAGACATAATCTCACCATCCTTCCTTCTAGGAGTATTCTGGTTGTACTTCTTCCAAGACAGGTTTGTTCATTCTTTTGGCAGTCCATGGTATATTCAATATTCTTTGCCAACAGCATGATTCAAAGGCTTTGATTCCTCTTCGCTCTTCCTTATTTATTGTCCAGCTTTCGCATGCGTATGATGTGACTGAAAATACCATGGCTTAGGTCGGTGTACCTTAGTCTTCAAGGTGATGTCTTTGCTTTTCAACACTTTAAACAGGTCTTTTGCAGCAGATTTGCCCAGTGCAATGTGTCTTTTGATTTCTTAACTGCTGCTTCCATGGGTGTTGATTGTGGATCCAAGTAAAATGAAATCCTTGACAACTTCAATCTTCTCTCCATTTATCATGATGTTGCCTATTGGTCCAGTTGTGGGGACTTTTGTCTTTATGTTGAGGTGTAGTCCATACTAAAGCCTGTGGTCTTTGATCTTCGTCAGTAAGTGCTTCAAGTTCTTTTCCCTTTCAGCAAACAAGATTGTGTCATCTGTATAACGCAGGTTGTTAATGAGTCTTCCTCCAATCCTGATGCCCCGTTCTTCTTCAAGTAGTCCAGCTTCTCAGATTACTTGCTCAGCATACAGATTGAATAGGGATGGTGAAAGGATACAATCCTGATGCATACCTCTCCTGACTAGAAATATGATAGGGGTGATATAGTCTTCAAGGATAAATTTCCAGTCTGTCAGTAATATTCTTTCCAATGTTATAAATCATTGTCTTAAAAGATTTTATTTAATATTCCAAAAATAATTTATCTTCTGTCATTCTAATTTAAAAGAAAAACTTTACATTGCCAAGATAATACTCACAGATATATTTTTTCACTTTCTTCTGTGGAAAGATGCTCTTTTTCTTTCTTTCCGCCCAAAAAATGATGGCTATCAAATTCAGCGCATAAAAATGTTTGGGTGAATGTGTCAGGAATATCATGTGTTGGAGTTGTAAATCATACTTTTGATCATACAGCTCTGCCACTAACTAGATGTGGGAGTTGGGAATTAACTGCTCAGTGCCTCAGTTTCTTCATCTGTAGATGGGGACAATAATAGTACCTACCTCATAATATTGTTATGAGAATTTATTCACTTCATATATGTAAAAGGTTTAGAATCATGCCTAGCACACAGTAGGACTAAGTGATTTTTTAGATATTATTTTATGTAGTTTAGTGTTACTAAGGGCAATGGACCAAACTCTCATCTTCTCCTCTCCACCTTTTCCTGTGGTTAAAAGTATCTCTAATAGTTTTAATAGGCTTTCCTCAGAGACTCCTTTTCTGTATTCTAGTATAACACGTAGAAAGCAAGTGTTTTTTTTCCAAAGTGAAACGGGCATTCAAACAATGAACTTGATATCTTTCACTGATAATGTCTTGCCAGAGTATTGTGTTTTAAATTCAGTATAACCTACTGTTTCTATTATTTTTAAGATAAAGTGCTTTCTCTTTGGGCATTTGCAGTTATCCAATGACACATTAGGTCTTGAGAAAAAAAGTCCTGGAGTATAACGTTTACTGCATGGCTAACAATTATAACCAGGCTGCAATGAAAATCATACTGCAAGGGTTACTACAAACCCAGTTTTACTTCCTAAACAGCAGAACTAAATAACCACATCATAAAACATAAACCCTTCACAGAAGAGTCCGTGAACATTCACAGAAAGCACTAGCCAGAGGCACTTGCCTTTTCTTCTATATACTGATGGCTGCACATTGTTTTTCTATTCAGTTTCACATATTATATTTGTTTCAATGTGATGATTTGTAACATTATACTTTTCTAATGAAGTTAATGAAGTACTTGGTTATAATATTTGGGTTGCTCTGAGATAGCTGTAGATCTAAATAATTAAGTAATAAAATAAATTTTTGAAATATTTGTATGTGAAAATAATATGAGATTGAGGAACAGAGGTAAAATGCTTTTTCAGTAGAAAACAACAAGCCCCCTTTTATCAGTTGCATAAATAATCTCTGCAATTTAGATCAAGATTATGCAATTTCTCCTATATTTAGTATTTCTTAATCCCAGCTGCAGTATCTGATGGATTGTATATTAGAGTATGTCTATAATTACATTCAAAGTTTTAGTTGCTATTTCAAGGGAAACTAAGCTAGATTTCACTTTTCCCTAGTTTCTGATCCATGAAAGAACAACACTGAAATGCCATTATATTTTCAAAGTTAATATTGAGGTTTGACAAACTGTAAAAAGATTAATGAGTATAAAAGAGTTTTAGGCTAAATGTAACCAGTTTTTGTGTAAGCATTAACAATTTCTTTATTGCAGGAAAAGATTTGCATTAGCCCACAAAGAAACAAACTTCTTTGAGTCTCATTCCGTTTTAATATAGATACGTATCTACGCTAGAAAAGATGGAGAACAATTGCTTAATTGTAGAACTTGTCTAACTCTGGTTCCTCACTGCTCTGGAACTTTCTGAATTATTGGATTTGATGAGTTGATTCTACAGTAGGGAAAAAAACTGATATAGAAAATAATACTGTATTTTTGAGGAACAGAGAGGGAATGTCAATCTCAGTTTCAATTTTAATTTCAAGAGCGAGTAATAGATTTTGAAATTGAAATCAAACTTGTGGCTTCCCAACTAAAAAAGATAATTCTACTTTTCATGAATTTCCAAGGTGAGGTGAGGTACTGCCTAGAGCTTGTACTGCCACTTTAAAGATTTAAGCACATGCCATCATAAGGTCATTTTTACTTATCTTTCAGATCAGCATTTTCATGACGCATTTGTCAAACTACGGGAATGACCGCCTAGGATTATACACCTTTGTGAATCTGGCCAACTTCGTGCAGAGCTGGACCAACCTCAGATTGCAGACTCTGCCTCCAGTGCAACTGGCCCGCAAGTACTTTGAGCTCTTCCCGGAGCAGAAAGACCCTCTCTGGCAGGTAACAGAAAACATTCTCTTCTGGGATGGAAGAAAAAAAACTTGCAATTTGTGAATGCCCAATTTGTGTTAGGTACTCTGCTGGAGACATTAAGACCAGTATTTAATACAAACATCTTTGTTATCCAATAACTTCGTTCTCTTCTTCAAAAAGAATTTTTTTTTTGTTTTGTTTTATGGATTAAATATTTGTGTCTTTTTTAAAATTTGTTTTTGGTTGGTTGGCTTGTTGGCTGGTCGATTTGGAAATTTTGAATTGAGGATGTTGATTTATTGTGGATGTCTTCTCTGAGCTAATCATTTTGACTTGCATTTATGGTAAGCATCAACTAGCAGTAAAATATTTGAACATTGGATGTCTAGGAAGATAGAAAATCAAGATACATGATAATCTAAGATCTTATAACTAGGCACTGATATTTATGTGTAGAATACAGAAGATGTATATGAAAAAGGAAATGCAGTGTTTACCTTGTGTTCACATAGATTTTAATATACCTTTAATGTGTCTTCAGTTTTCTTTAAATCTAACTGATCTTTCACTAGGCTTAGATCTACTGATCAAAGAGAGAATTGTCAGTTTTAGTACTGCTTTTACAAATAATTCAACTTCACATGGGGGCCACTCATCCTGGATGCATCAAATGTAGACTATCTGCTTCTTAGCTGTTATGTAGGAAAATGCTGCCTTCCACTTTCTTGGTTCTTTATGCATGCAAATACATCGACCCACACAATCAATAAACTGGCTGCAGAGAGTAGATCAGATGGTCCCCTGCTAAGTAGTCAGTAGGGAAGTAGCATCATCATTAATGAGAAATCACTGTGAAACAGACTTTTTACACTCCTTTCCCCTTTCCTCAAAACTATTTGTTTCTCTTTACTCCATAAGTCATGTTATATGCCATTCTCTGTCTATACAGTTAGGAACTCATCTAACACATATTTATTGAGCACCTGCTATGTGTAAAACAAGGATACTTGTTCTAGGGAATACAAAGAAGAATAAAATACAATATTACAGTATTTTCTCTCAAAGTAGGAGGGAGTTGTTCTTTCTTATTCTTATTCATTAGTATTATCTCTCATATGTTTCAAAATGTGTTTTCACACTGAATATTACAGAGAACTAGATGGTGCCCGGCTACCACCAACGACCACCCTGACAGGGAACACAACAGAGAGTTCCTGATGGAGCATAAGAAAAGCGGGGTGCAGAACTCAAATTCTAGTAAAAAGACCAGACTTAATGGTCTGACTGAGACTGGAGGAACCCCAAAAAGCATGGTCCCCAGACTCTCTATCAACCCAGAACTAAAACCATTCCCTAGGCCAACTCTTCAGGCAAAGATTAGACTGGACTATGGGACATAAAATGATACTCTTGAAGAGTGTGCTTCTTAGCTCAAGTACATACATGTGACTAAATGGGCAGTTCCTGTCCAGAGGTGAGATGAGAAGGCAGCGAGGGTCAGGAGCTGGTTGAATGGACACGGGAAATCAGGGGTGGAAAGGAGGAGTGTGCTGTCACAGTATAGGGAGAGCAATTAGGGTCACATAACAGTGTATGCATAAATTTTTTGTATGCGAGACTAACTTGAATTGTAAGTTTTCACTTAAAGTACAACAATAAAAAAAAAAAGAAAATGACGATAACTGCAAAAAAAAAAAAAAAAAAAAACCCCAAAACAACTGATACTACAGTAAATCATACCTTATTCTGGTAATTTCTTCAGCAGCTCTTTACCATTTGTGTTTATGTTGCATTACATAACACAAAATTCTTATAAAATTCTAAATACATAACCTTAACAATTAGCTATTTGACCTTTTACATGTTTGGTATATAAGTTAGATAGATAAATACATAGATAAACAGACAGATCCACCACCACCACCACCAGTTGCCGTTGAGTCAGTTCTGTCATTCTGTCATAGTAGAACTGTGCTCCATAGAAGCCCTGGTGGCACAGTGTTAAAGTGCTGTTAACCAAAATGTTGGCAGTGTCTTTCCCTGAGGGAGAAAGATGCGGCAGTCTGCTTCCATAAAAATTTACAACCTCGGAAACTTCATGGGGTAGTTCTACTCTGCACTATAGGGTCACTATGAGTTGGAGTCAACTCGACAGCACACACAACAATTTTTCAGAAGTAGATCAACAATTCTTTCTTCCCAGGCCTGGGAAGGCTCAAAACTACAAACTTCCGGTTAGCAGCTGAGTGTGTTAACTGTTTTCACCACCCAGGGATAGAGACATAGTTATTATGAGTATGTAGAGTTACACTAACAAGATGTTGAATTTCATAAGGGCAAAGCATTGTGTAACATAAATAGTAAACCCTTGGTTGTGCAGTTGATTCCGACTCATAGCAACCCTATAGGGCAGTGCAGAACTGCCCCATAGAGCTTCCAAGGCTACAATCTTTATGGAAGCAGATTACCACATCTTTCTCCTGCAGAGCAGCTGGTGGGTTCAAACCACCACCTAGCTAGGTTAGGAGCCTAGTGCTTAACCACTGCACCACCAGGGCTCCTCACATAAAAGTAGTTACTAAAAAATGTCCACGCACTATTATAAAGTAAATAACTCATTGATAGTGAGTCAATTTTTTTCTCACACGTTTATTTCTGAGATGTCTATAATGTGTAGTACAATAAATTAATAAAAAGCAGACAGACTGATCAACAAAGGTTTCAAACATCTGACATATAAGGAATCAGTCAATAGAACCAAGCCCTACTTTTTTTTTTCCTTTGAAGAAGAAAAAAAAAGCTTCTCTTTTTAATGAAGAATTGTATTTCTTGATACTTTTTGGATATCAGTGACATTGTTCACTTTTGTTATTACTGAATATAAGGAAAGATACCTAATTCAGTATGATTTGGTTGACATGATGGCTCTAAATATTGATTGGGTATTTGTTAAATATACAATACTATACTGGCTGATTGGGGTGTATAAATGAACATTAAAAACAGAAAATGGGACTGTTCTTTAGAGATATATGTCACTGAAAGACAGAAGAACACATACATAGACAAATAAAATACTTGCAAATGCTGATCATTTTAATTTTGAATAGCATCATAAAGGTAACTTCCTAGGAAGTTGTTAATATCAGGTAGAATTAATCAGTAGAGGCTTCATAAAGATTATTTTTTATTGTGAGTTTTAATTTATATTAGTTTAATAATTTACATATATTATCAGAATATACCTTATTATAACTCGTTGCCATCAAGTCAATTCCAACTCATAGCGACCATATAGGAACAGAGTAGAATTGCCCCATAGAGCTTCCAGGGAGCACCTGGTAGATTCGAACTGCCAACCTTTTGGTTAGTAGCCATAGCACTTAATCACTGCACCACCAGGGTTTCCACAGCTTATTATATGAATATTTAAATCAGTCTCAAGAGTAATTTTTTTTTACTAAATGACTCCTTTTGCTATCATATGAATTATATCATTTTTATGATTTTTACAACAGATAAATTAAATAAAAGTTGCAAACATTTCCCATTAACCAAAGTGTCATACATAGTCAAATACATTTAAGTAGGAAAGTAAAGAACAGAAAACAGAAGAGCAGATACGTAGAGGAAGGAATTATACACGAGATTTTGAGAACGGTTGACTCATTGCAGCAATTCTAATAAACTTTGTCAGTCCTGAGTTAACGTCCAAAAAACTGAAAGTAATGAAGTAAATATAAAGTGAATGGTCCTTTCTGAGTTCTCTTCTCTCACGATTATCTCTTTTCTCATATTATTATATTTATAATAGGAAACAAAACAGCTATAAGTATTGTAATCATTTCCTTTACACAGCTTGAATTAGTTTTACAAAAAATACATAAGCATAACTAACATTCAGTGATAAATGTTTTATGGTCTATTTTTCAAATCCCTATAAAGTAAATAAATAATACAAGCCTCTGTCCTTATTATATATTGTCAAAATGACATGTTAAGGTATCATTTTGTATTTATAAACAAGATTTCTTAGTGTATTTCATTTTTAGAAAAGTTAAGTCAACAGTTATTTTTCTTAGATTTCTAATTCACACTTTTTTATTACCACAAATAGAAAAAGTGCAAAGTGATAATCTTGGCATCTATTTAATTTCCTTTGGTTTCTTATGTAAATTTTCATTAGCACCAAGGACCGTACATTTGGAAGTTGCTTTGTCACCTAATTAAAAAGTGCAATATGAATATCTGCCAATGGGCGGCATGGCAAGTATAATACAAAATGTGTTTGTGGTTTCCTCACTGGAATTTGATTCTTCCAAATCTGTTTAATACGGGAATGAATGCTGGTGACGGACATGGAATGCTATCCTGGGAGCATATCCTCTTCATTTAGTCCCTGGTGGGAAAGAATTTTACAGTTATACTTGTGAGTATAATTCATGGCCCTTATTGTGTTGGTAGAATAATCACTACAAAGCACGAAGGCATAGAATTTCCTTTTTCTTTTTTTTAACTCTTATTTTAGAAATCGAAACCACAATATGGAGGCAATTGGAAGGTCAAATTCTTGCACATTCACTAATCGATGCTTTTAAGCTCTCAAGGTGTCAGGTTAGCTCAGTCTCAATCTTCTCTCAGTCACTCCAGAGTTTCACTATCATCAAACACGCCAAGCATGATGTGGATTCCTGTTTACACCTGTGAACAGGGGAATGCTCAAAGAGCTGTTGTTTCTGTCTTTCCATGCTAAGGTCTCCAGGGTTAAAGAAGTAAGAAAGTAAATCACAGTATGCTAACCTTATGTGGTTAGCACCTTTGTTGATTCTAGCTGCCAGAGCATTCAGCCCCAGTTTAGGAATGATGACGTCTGAATGTCTGAGACATAAACAAATCACAGGCTCTAGTGACATACACATAGTAGGTTCTATTATGTGCCTGTTGTGGGAATGAATGAGTGCTGACACACAGAATTACTGACCGTAAGAGCAAGAGAAGAAGTTAGAGATATCTAGCTCATCTTTTTC